TTGGGGTGCGAGGGGGATGGTTTCGGAATTTGTGTGTATATTCTAGGGCCCGCCGATTTGGGGATGGAAGAAGCGAAGCCCTATAAACCCCCCCCCCCCCTCGCCCCCCCCCCCCCCCCCCTCCCCGGCTTTGCCACATAAGGGGAGCATCCTACATTCTCAGGCTGCTATAAGCATGTGCATAGCCACTGAGCTCGTACCACAATGGCAAGATAGTTGCTGACATTCTTCACGTTACGTAGCAGTTCTTTCTTTTTTGTACATATGCTCGCTTTTCCTTCACACATCTACTCTGCCTCCGCTTGTCGTTTATGCTTGATGGTGATAGGCCAACAGTGCGTATTTGCTCTGCATCACAGGCAAATTTCAAAAATCCAGCTCGCACTACTCTTTAATTTCAATGAGTTACTGTCACTTTTGAAACGACAATCTATTGAATTGCTATCATAACACGTATGTTGACTGTAGGACAATTCTATTTTTATTGTTGTTCTTGGTCACGAAGATGACAACCATCCACAAGACACTGGCTAAATTTCTCGTCTACAGTAAGTAACAATGTTACCATACTCTGTCAGACTAAACTGCTGCTGTATAGACAAGTAACGATTAATTTTAGGACAGACCTGTTCGTAGTTTATTGCAGGACATTGAAAAGTGTTCTCATAACTTTCCGATGACTGACTTGCAATTCCAGCAGCTTGGCGTGAAAAGGTAAAACATCTAATTGATACAACGAAATGCCATCAGCAACCCATCCAGATTTTATTGCGTAATTGACAGTAGCTACAGACCGCAACAAATTGTCAACTAAAGACATAGGTACTAAGCGTGCACTAACTTCGAAGTGGTAGAAACCCTGAAGTTTAAACGTCAACTTACCACCATGTTGTTAATGGCAAAATGGTGTTTGCGGCAAAGTGTTGGAGTCCTTCAGAAAGGTGACGGTCTCCTTCAGACCGATGATGACGGTGACGAAGGTTTATTTAAAGTCTAAGTTTAGTCAACGCACCCGACGACGTCGGTGTGCTTGTCATGGTGGCGACGAAAGCCTTCTTTCGCACGTGCCTCAGCTGCCTCGGTCCGGGGTTTTGTCGTCCCAACCGTCTCTTCCCAGCCGGTTGACAGCGATACTCACGACGGCCGTCACGGCTCTGATCACCATCCACTGGGCATTAGCTATGTGATCATCGGGGGCAACCGCGCCCTTGTAGTTCCCCGTTGCGAAAAATCTCAGTGCGATTCAATTAGTAGCTACTTCTCGACGGTCATCATCTCTCATCGTCGCCGTCTCTCGTTGTCACACTGCGATCACACGGTGCTTTTCGACAAGCGGTATTGTCGTCAGAAACAGTCGTCGTGCATCGCGAAGGCAACCGGGTGCTCGCGGAAAACCCGTCATTGTACGCGTAGCCATCGTTGAGCAACAAGCATCGCCGCCATTTTCTACGCTCTAGAATCCTGCCCAAAGCTAGTTCCGTTTCGTGCAATAGAAAGAGAGGTTAAAAGCACGAGCGCATCACCCCGAACGATCTTGCACGAACGTTGGCTTGCACTGCGCAAGCGCGCCTGCTCGACAGGGACGTTGAAAGCCCGGAGCACGTTCTTGTAGCTCCTACACCCGCACTAGCTCGCACTCATAGTGAAACAGAGAGTAGGGTGTGTCGAGTAATACCGCAGTTAATCTAGTGACGCGACTTCCGCTATGTGCTACGTAGGTCGGACGTGGTCATACGTCACTTTGTCGTCACGGTCCGAACTCGAAGAGAGACATTTACGGCAAACGGTTGCTTTCGTGTTTCGCGAACGTTCCCATGGGAACCGCGTGGAATTATCACGCGGGCTGTGGCCAATAGGAGCGCGCGGTTCGTAGAAGGGAGGAGTTTTCGAGAAACACGAACGTGACCGTTTGTGACCAGAATAGCACCCCTGTGTGTGGCATTGAATGCTAATGCAATGCCCAGTGTGCTGTCATCATTGATTGTACCTATTTTCGGTTCTATATTTTACACCGTGTCGCCATTTTCGTCTACGTGAACCTCCTTCTGATGAATCTACTTACAATAGGATTGACGTCGGCTACTTTACACCACCGACATGGCTGCGGCTAATGCTGAGATCTCCAATGGCAACTCTGCAAAAGAAGCAACAGGCCTACCCATAGGCAAGTCAACTTGAACCCTGCGGCCGACAGCGGCCCTTCCTCTGAGTGGCGGCGTGGCTCAGCGTAGTCCCTGCTTCTTTGTCATTTTAGACTTCATTTCTCTGCTGCTAAGCAGAAGGGCAATGTTCTTGCGAATTGTTATTACCCTCCCAACTAGAATTAAAAAATTACTTCATTTTATAGCCCCTTGTCTTTTTTCTTATACGCTGCCAACCAGAAATTAACTTAACAATATTACATTAAAGGGGCCCTCCAGTAACGTTGAAACTAGTTTGCAATCTGCACTGAAACAAACTACATGGAATGTGGAAACACGGGGGAAAATATTTTTTTTTTTAAAATTTATGATATTTTGAGAGTAACTGAAGTTGCCAGCAGCTTTTAATAACTACTTGATCCTTCTAAGGGCCACTACATTATAGTTCCAAATGCAATTTTAGTTCCGGTAAGCTGTGCAAAGCCATGTTGAAGGACAGCCGTCGCCTTGTTTTCTTGTGGTTTGTCTGAAGACAATTACTTATTTCGTCGTTTGTGCTTTTGATCAGCTTAGAGAGGACAACAGCTCGTCTCCTTGATGAAATTTAGGAGCACTACATTCAAATCTAGAAAAAAAAAAAAAAAAAAAAAAACGCATCTCCACGTGGTGAATGATGTTCATTGGGGCGAAGCTCTGGTGGTGCTTGTCTGCGTAGACGCTGAGCCGCAGCATGCCGAGCCTTTCGTTCGGTTTCATCCATGCCACGCTGCGGTCAAATGCTCCAATGCGTATATAACCACGTTCCATACCACACATTCTCTTTCTGACATGGATGAAAACGAACGAAAGGCTCGGCATGCTGCGGCTCACCGTCTACGCAGACAAGCACCTCCAGAGCTTCGCTCCAATCAACATCATTCACCACGCGGAGATGCGCTTTTTTTTTTTTTTTTGCCCCACACGAGAACTGGAGCACGTGCTCACGTGCTCGTGAGCACGAGCACCCGACGCCGGACGGGCATACGGACATGGCTAGCCCCTAAGGAGCTTCGCCCCTAAAAAAAAAAAAAAAAAAGTACTGCTTGCCAGAGGTTCTGCTGCTTGCTACAATGCTTTTTTTTTTCTTATTATTTGTCTGTCGATGCTGTTTCGGCTGATAGACCCGCAGCTACTTTCTGTCGATAATAACTTCAGCTTGCACAACTGATTACGACGCGAATTAAATTCAACCGAGTTAGGAAACACCGTCTCCGTGTGGTGATTCCGACCGGGTCGGTGTTTCCCACACCGATCCCGTCGGATCGGCCGGATCGGTATCGGAGCCATTCGTCATCGCTCACGACAGACAGATGCTGTGTTTAATCAAGTTTCCACTCCTGTGGACGCTGAAAGATGCCTTCTTTTAAAATTATCCGGTCTCGGTGGAAATGCAGCCGGCATAAGACCCCGGCAGTCGGCTGAACCGCCACGCGAACGGGACCAGCTCGACGGGAAAAGACGCGGCTGTGCGCAGTCGGTCCCACTGTCGTAATCGCCGCCATGGATATGGTGTGTGTGCTATGCGGCGGATGTCTGCGGTGGTTCAGCGCGCACGGAAGACAAAGAATAGACGCGTGTAACCTACGCATTGACTCCGGCAAAAAGCTTTCTTGAATCGCTGGGCGTCACTCATAGATCATGTCTTATGTCAAGCGGCGGACATTTTATTTTATGTGGCCATCGCATTAAAACACCCGTGGACAAGTGATCGCGGAACGAAGTACAAGTTCAAAGGCGTTCATTTTACCCGAGACCTCGCGCGTAAAAAAATACACCGAACCTCGCGTGTAAAACGAACACCGTTTGGGGTGTCCGCCCTGGGAAAACGGTTCAGACGTCTAGAGGTGTAGGATTTTGCTAACAGTATAAGGTCCCTCTGAAGCACGAGGTCGGCAGTGCGAGCTCCTCCGGGCGGTCCGCCCGTCACGCAGGTATAGTGGCGGAGTGGCCCTTTGCGCGTCGGCGACCGCGCGTCCCGTCCCACGGGGTCGGCGTGGTCCCGGAGTCGTCGCGGAGGTGTGCGCCTTCTTCGGGAGGGGCCGCGACGGGAGACGCGTGGGCGCCCGCTCCGTGCTGGGCCACGCGCCGACTGCCGGGCCCCCGCGGGGAACGCGCGTGGCGGCCCGCTTCGAGCGCTGCAATGGCTTTTTTTCCTCCAGGGCAGTTCACCGAGACAGTGAGCAAGGGGCGCTCTTCCTCGAAGGTTTTGTCGTCTGTCTTTTCGCGAGGCCTCGTCCCTGGGAGGAGGTACCGACGCGAATGAATACACTCTTCTTTTTACAGCGAGTCTCAAATCTTCAACAACTATGGCATCATCGGCGCGCAAGCAAACAAAGTAGAAGTTCGCGTTTAAACTGCAGGGTGGGTTATACTCTGCCAGTGAATGGAAACATCGAACGCTGTAGTTGAGACATTTCCCCAGTGCAGTACGACTGCTAGCCTGCAGTCTTTGACTTGCATCACGCATAAGAGATGCACGACCGCACGCCCGTACCGTGCTCTTCCAGATAGAAGCGGACAGGGACGGGGATCGAACCCAGAAATAACCCGTTCCGTAAAAACAAAAAGATACTTCTTTTTTGCGCGTGTTTGAGGGTTTTCGGACATCGTCTTCTATTGCCTGTCGCCTGCTTGCAGATTCAGATCATGATTCCGCGTGTTTCTACAATCAGCCGCCCGCGTCCGTTTGGCACGCGCGCTTCGCCGCTGGCGTTCCATAGCATGCGCCTCGCGGCAAAGCCCGCCCCGCGAGGGGAGCGCGCGACGACCTGGCCAATCCCCGCCGACCGAAGGGGAGAGGGGCCGCAAGGGGGGCCACGCATCACTTCACCGGACCGGCACAAAACGCAGGCGCGTCTCCCGGCCGATCCGACGCAACACGACGTCGTCGCCGACATCCAGCACTGCGACGGACTGGCCGACAAAGAACCGCGAGGGCGCAGCCTCCGGAGGGACGCGCAATCACACTGCGAGCGATCCCCCGGGCTCTCCTCATTCCGACTAGACTGCCGAGGAATAAATTCTGGCAGGATTCCGCGCGCGCGGACTGCTCTTCAAACCCCGGTGACGGCGACGAGTGAATCGGCAGACAGCGTGTGCATGTGTGTGTGTGCGTGCGTGCGCGTGAGATTTCGTTTGGTGGCTACGACGAGGAGAGCTCTAGTACGCCCCCGGCTCCAACCCCAGGTGTGCGCGAACGTGGAACTTCTCCGTCGATAGCTGCCGCCCGTGGTCCCGTGTGGTGCCCGCTCAAGCGCACGAAGAAGCGGCGAAGAGCGGCGTCCACGTGCGCGCGGTGCCGACGAGGGGTCCGGCGCGCCGTCCGCCCGGAGGCTTCGCAGGAGTCCCGGGCCATGCTGCCGGCCTAACGCGGGGCCATGGCCCGGGACGCAGAGGAGCCCGCGGCCCGGCGCCGAGCCCGCCGGCTGCTCTTCTCCCTCGCCCTGCTCCAGGGGCTCGGGTGAGTTTAGCTACGTCACTCTTTGAAAAGACCGGCGTTTTCTTCCGCAGAAGCGTAATTATAGGAATGAAATGTCTTCTCCATTCCGATACGTACTGCTCGGAACTAATCCCTGGTCCTCACTTTTGAGTCAGGCGTTACTTTCGCTCGGCGCTGCAACTGCCACAGAGAGGACCGGTAGGCATTGAGCGGCGTAGAAGTCCCTTCCGACAGTACCGTTCGCTTACGTTTCGTTATTTTACGGGAGCCTACGTCCGCTTATGTCGAAAGTAACCGGCACATTTATGCTTCGTGGGAAGTGACCAATTCAAGGAGCATACTTTGCACGGGATGTAGGAAGCATCGATGTTCAGGTAAAAAAGAAAACATCATCAGCGAACGCTCCAGCGTGGGCGGACCTTTAACTCGTGGTCAAAACGCGCTGTTAAAGTGTTCTCCCGTCGACGCCTGCCGCCAATGCACACCACAGACACCGGCCAGGGTTGGGAGTTTTTGGAGCACGCGCTGTGCTCCGGACATTAGGGAGTTTGACAATACGGAGCCCCAGTGACGGGGGGCCCACAAGAAATAGCAGCTCACCACTGCGCATGCGCCATACCCAAACCAAGGTTCTTTTTTTTTTTTTTCTTTTTTTAGCGTTCGCTTTTAACGTGGAACCCGCGAGGCCCCTGGGGCAAACAAACATAGGGGCGCCCTGTGTCGCTCGCTTCGGAACAAAACCGTAATGGTCGCTACACTAGCAAGTTTCTTGGCAATGAATGATGCAGGAGGCTTTCGCTTTGCCTTACCTCGCTTAAAGCACAAAGTGCACTCTAAGAAATACCTGCGCGTCTACTTACCCGCAGAACACTCGAAGAGCCAATCTCTCAGCGAAAGATGAAGGGGAACATCCGTTTAGAGCTCAAAAGGAAGTCTGCGCTGTGGCATTACGCAATGGAAGCATGACGCATTGCATTGCGTAATTCCACAGCGCAGGCTTCAATTTTACCTCTAAACGGATGTTCCTCCTCGTCATTCGCTGAGCTGATTTCCTAGATCGCTGAGATTGGCCCTTCGAGTGTTATGCGGGTAAGTAGACACGCGGGCATTTCTTAGAGTGTGTGAACAATGATATTGCTCCCTTTTCTAGATCGTATTCTGATTCTGAGCATTCTTAAAGGTGCCCTGAGGAGGTTTCTGAGATCGTATAAATATGGCGATAACTCACTCTGCTGGCTCTAAGCACGCTAGAAATCCTTAAATCATGACAATATTGCGGCCGATCTCCCTATTAAAAAAAAAAAAATCAAAGATCGCAACACACCGATTTCGTCTCCGGCAATGGGAGGAGCATGTTCCGAAACCAGGACCACTGTCAGTGAATAGCAAGCGAGAGAAGGATCCATGCGCCTCCGACCGCTCGAACCGCGGAGTGATATCTCGAACCCGCCCGGTTCGTTGCACACACAGCCCGGACTACGATTCAACCCAGCGAGTGCGCGCTCGAGAGCTCACGACCGGACGCATCACGCCCGCGGAAGACACAAACATAGCTTTTTTCAAGACGATTATTGCAGCATTAGGCTCCCATACCGCGAAAAATAACATTTTTTAACTACTCTTTACTCGCTTCTATCATCTACAAAAGCTTACACATTTGGTAATACCAGCGTTCGCAATCTCAACGAAATTTCGCGTTTTCATTGGCCACATGCCGTCCTGACTGCCGGCACAATGTTCCTCCCATCGCCGGAGATAATGTAGATCTTGGATTGATTTTGTATTTGGGAAATCGGCCGCACACCGTTAGGATTTATCGATAAATCTATAAATCATAGCGATGCGCGGCCGAACGAGCGGGCTCTAAGCATCCTCTAAGATGCTTAGAGCCCGCAGGGTGAGATATCGCCATATTTCGGCGATCTCATAAAACTCCTCAGTGCACCTTTAAGCCTGAATGGACGCGGTAATTGATGACAGCGCCTCGCGAAACTATAGTGGATTGTCTTGCCACGATCTCGCACAAGAACGAAGACACAGAAAATGAACGCAAGATCACGCATAAGCGTTGACTCGCAACTGACTCAAAAGCTCTGAAGCAGAAAGCTTGACTCTAACGACGTGCCAAAAACATCACGCGTGTTTCTTCGTGCCTTATGCAGCGGGTGTGATGCGCTGGATCCTACTGACATGGTGGCAGAAGCTAAGCCAAACAGACTGAGTTCATGATCGAAGCATCACCACTCTTTACAAGACATTTGGGGGGGAAGGGGGGGGGGGGGGAGGGGGGGGGGGTAATTTTTTTGGAGGTGGGCTGGTTGGTGGTGTATAACAAAACTTATAAATGAAACAGTGCAAAAAAAAAACAAAAAACACAAGGACAGACAAAAAAGAAGGGACGCAGACACAGCGCTGTGTCCCTTTTTCGACTTGTTATTGTGTTTTTTTTTAGCAGCGTTAATTATATGTTTAGTTCAACAAAAAAAAAGGGGGGTATTCTTTTTCTGCGTCATAGACGCCTTAATTAAAATTGCTAAAGGGAGATGGAGCGATCTACAAGTGAGATCTAAAAATGGCTTTCGTAGAGAAGAAAAACAACGATGCTTGAATCGTATTGATTTTTCCCTGGCTTCAAACATCCAAACATTTAATGATTAACTAAAAAAATAACACGGCTAGATTTGTATTTACCTTGCCTAATATTTGTGACACAAGCAACAGAAAGTGGTTGTTAATGGAAAATATATTACGTTTTTCTTTTATTTTTTCTTCGATTCATTGCGCTTGCGAGCCGTATTGGCGCTGCAAGGGAGAAACGCAAGCATGTCACGCTGCGTATTCGAAACCACTGATATTTATGGCGATTTGCTGGATCGCACTTCCCCATCTCAGCAAATGCAACCACCGGAAGTTCCGGTGGTCGCATTCGCTGAGTGGCTGAGTGGCTGCATGTTGAAAGATACATTTTCTGCTCGTTCGCCGTCATTCGCCGAATAAGCATTTGAAAATACTTTGTAAACGGTTGTCACTGCCGTTGAGAACACGTGGAAGTTCTTACGAAAGCGCAGCACCGCAGGAAACAGGTACAACTCGTCGGAGGGGTCTCGCGGTCAGCCGACGTGATTAAAGGACGTGCCTTGGCACGCCGAACTGCTGCGTCAATGCGCCCTCGCACGCTTGGATACCGATCAAGAATCGACGCCGTGTGGATGTGTTATCCTTTCGAGAAAGTTTTGAAGCTGTTTCGCGTGTATGTACAGGTCTTTGCTGCATATAACGGTCGTAGAGTTCTGGATCGTCCATCTTTTCTGGCGAGTTACTAGAGAGTTTTAGTAGATCGTTCCGATAACCTCCCATAGCCCCGATAACGATACTATGCACGCGCAAGGGAGGCGACGGCGGGGTATCGGGATATCGTTATCGGAGTCATGGGAACGATCTACTAAAACTCTCTACTATCACTAATTATTAATAGCGGTGAGCAAGAAAAAAAAAAACCAGTGGATTCTATGAGGCACAATTAATCATGGCTATGTTCGAAATCTATTTGAATGGATCCGAATTTTTCACGTCACGTGGCAACAGAGCAACGCAGTGGAGTAGCACTGGACGGGAGGGAGAGTTTTTAAGCGACACTTAAACAAATTCGTTTCTGGCCCACGAGTGCCGCAGGTTACAACTGCAGTCGTCGAAGTAAAGTGAAATACTGCTACATAGTCACATACACCTTCACGCACTTTCACCCGCAATCTTTTTTTTTTTTTTTTTTTTTACAAAGGGCTTACACGAAGGAAAGTCTACTCTTGATCGGTATCCACGTGTGCGAAGGCACAAAGACGGAGCACTCGTCGTGGCACCTTTTGTTAAGCCGCCTGACCGCGAGCCTTGCGTTCGACGAGTCTGAGTTGTGACATTAAGCAATGCAAGTGTGACGTTTTGCATTGCTCAATGTCACAACTCAGACTGCGTTTTTCGGTCTAAACATATGATTCGGCGTCGTCATTCGCTGAGCTGCCTCCGTAAGTTGCGGTGATTGGCTCTCCGAGTGTTGTGCGGGAAAGCGGACGCACAGGCATTCTTTAGAGTGTAGTGGGTCACGAACGCCAAGTAGAATATTAGCCGATGGCACCGAGCCGACTTGATTCCACAGTGCTCCTGTCCGATCCGGCAGCCGCATTCAACGAGCCCGGGACAACCCGCGGGCAGGCAGCGAGTATGACAAAGCATTAAGAAAGATAATGAAAAATGACTTCTCTTTCACGTTTCGCAGCAAGAATCACGTTTTTGTATCCTTATACTCTCGTTGTTATTTTGTATCCCACTACATAATATGCAGTTAGTAAAATTCAAATTCACAATTGTTTCAGCGTTCTTTTAGAAATAGAAAAGCAGTTGGTTTTATACGAATGTAGTTTTATATATATAGCGAGACTTTTAGTGACTGCCATTAAGTTGCTAAATCAAACATTCCGATTCCACCTTGAAAGCCCCTAACGTAAAGGTGCACGCGTATTGCGCTTGCTAACGGTAAACTCCCCAGCCCGGAAAAGCTGTTGGCACAGTTCTGCTTTGATTGAGCGCTCTGCTCACGACACTGTTCGAGGCAGCGGTAAAAAGAACCGTTGACGCGGAGACTAAATCAATGTGAGGTTTTGTAGCTGCCAAAAGAGTACTCAGAAGTAACTATACTCAAACTAAGTTACAAGTGGTTTTAAACACCAAACAGTTAGCTACTAAAACTTGTGTCAGTCACGGCATTTTAAATATTTTTATTTACCTTTACTTCCCAGCTCTACAAAAAAGTGTTGAGATGCACGTTGACTTGTTAAGGTCGAGAAAATCCGGACCCCTCGTAATCGGGGTAACTCTAAGTACCACAGCGGGGCGTCCACAATTGTTAAGAATTCTCCACTAAGTTTTATCACTTCTAAAATACACACACAAAAAAATGATAACGCTGAAAATTTTGTTTTCTATTTCTAATCTTCAATTTTGACTTTTTTTTTCTTTTGATATTTTGC